GTACTCATACTCGTGAAAATGCCCCGATACTAAACGCAGATACCGGTGTTCTGTGGAGAACGCTGATGTAGTCGAATTTGCCGACCTCAGCATCTGCGCTTGCGCACAGACCAATGTTATCGAGGAAACCGGGATTTATTTACAAAGTATTTCGTTTGAATTGTTAATTGTGACCGTTAATAATATTCCATCCATCATTTACTGCCATGGAAGGGCATATTATTAACGGTCACAATTAACCATTACGAACAAATGCTTTGTAAATAAATGCCAGTTTCTCGTTAATCCCGTCTGTATGTAAGCGCAGATCCTGGGTCGGCGTTCTCGACAGAACACCGGCACTAAAATTTGAAACAAGCGGCTGCCTGAGGTCCCGCGCTTGCTGGGGACCTCCACAGCCTTCCTGTTAACCATGCGGTGCCATGGCGGTTGGGGGGCCTTCATGGTTTCTTGCACCGGGGGGCTGAAGGATCTAGTTACGCCTCTGGAAACTAGCCCTGCAAAGTGCAAATTCCCTTGTAAAATGAATAGCCTATTTGTCTTTAGGAAAGTAACCCCTAGATCTCATCAGACATTACTTTTTGATACCCCAGTATTTTACTTATTTATCAACTAACATTTGGGGGACTGTTTGTGAGGAAAGAACATGATTTTGGTACTTATTTAAAACCACAGAGTGGTTAGCTTGCAAGACTGGTGTATCTAGGCTGACCATATTTCCTTAAGCCAAAAACAGGACATTGGGATGGCAGAAACGGGACGGTTTTAATATTCTGTATTCATGAAAAAGTAAGATGATAACAAAAGTTTTATGACAATATTGTAGATGTGTACAGCATAATGTTTTGGACAAAATTAGTTATAATGCTGTTCTGGATTCGGAGGCAACGAGCCTCTGAATCTGAAACTGCACATTGGTTCACCCAAGAGGGTGGTGTGTCTTCTTACGTGACATCAGATGCTCTTAGATGTCAGCGATACAATGAATAACTATATGCCCGAATATATAGTAATTTATATATTCGGGTATATAGTAATTCGGATTCGGATGAACTACCGAATTGACAGCAATTCGTTGATTTGGCAGTTTGTCCGAATCGAAATGCACATCTCAACAATTAACAATTATTCTTCAGTGACAAGTCATACAATGCAGTGCATTCTTTCTGCACTGCCTTCCTATACTGCCTCATATCCTTCCATTGTGTCAGTCTGAGGAGCAGAGAACTATGCCATTAACCTTGAGATTTCTTAACCCTCTGGAGCACTGCACTCCTAAGATAAAAGCTCTGCTGTTGATCATATAAAATGGCTGCCTAAAGTCCCCACCGGCGCTTATTCTTCCTTCCTGGCAGCACTGACTGGGAGGAAATTACGTATAGGCGCAGAGTGTGCTCTGTGCGCCTATATGTAACTTCCTCCAAGTCAAGTGCTGCTGCGGAGGAAGAATGAGCGCCAGCAGAGGCTTCTTAGGAGTGCTCTCTGTGCCCCTCCTGGTAATTTTTCCTTAATACAGTAAAAAATAAAAACCCCAGTGGTGAATAAATACCACCAAAAGAAAGCTCTATCTGTCCCCAAAAAAGGGTATCAAATTAATTTCAGTACAGCGTTGCATGACGGAATAAATGTCAGTCAAAGTACCACAGCGCTGAATACTGAAAAATGGCCTGGATGGGAAGGGGGTTTAACACCACGGATGTCAACTGGTTAATGAGACCGGCTGGCCGCATGGATGTAGAAGTTAAGGTTGATTTCATTAAGGAGGCGCACTCCTAAGAAGGAAAACGGCACAAAATCGATTTTTTAAAAGAAAAAACGGGATATGGGACAAAATATAAAGAAATAATGGTACTGTCCTATTTAAAGCAGGACATATGTTCAGCCTTGGTGTATCCCATTTATAACTAGGAGTTTATATAATTGCATCACCAGATACTGTATGTTCTAACCAGGTTGCTTGAGTGATTTATCAAAACCTTATCATGTGTCCAATATAGAATGCACAAGTATAGTCTTTATCCTCTGTATAGTAGAATGACTTGTCTGGGTTTTTTTTCTACATTGGTAGTACCAGGAAGGTGACACAAAGACATTTCTCCCAAGCCTACTAGGACAAGGGCTCTGCATAAGACAATATATATGAAGCCTGGAAAACATTGATTTCACAATCTGGCTTTTTGCAGACAGATTAGGCATTGATTTTATGTTTGTAAGATGCCCACCAACACTGCCAGCTAATGCTCATCAGAGAGGACAGTGCTTTGACATGTTGAAAAACCTTGTCTGATCACTATTGTTCCCTTTGGAAAAGCAAGCTCGCACCTGAGGAGTCTACAGCACACCTCTCCCATATTGCTTCATAGGTTTAAAGATGAACGGCTTCCCATTGTGATCGATCATATTTAGTGAAACAGTGGTTGCCAGAGATCCTGTGGGTGGTCAGCTCATGTCCACATACTTGACTGCCCTTTTATGCCCTTTTTAGCCAGCTTTAAAGTTGAGCATGTTCTTTGCCCATTCTGGTAAAAGTAGTAGATTCACTCTCTCCTGCCACCCCCTTCACCTGCTAGAGCCAAGCAACATACCTGGTATACATGGGTTTGGAGGAGCATGGGAATTTCCCACTACCTCATGTAATACAGTGCTAGGCAGAGTTAGCAGCAAACCACAAGACACCAGGAGGAGGTCCTTAGCTATGTGTAGGCACCTATGAGAACTACTGTGAGCTTATTTAGGGCTTATTTACTTGTCTCCAGTGGGCAAACAGAACAATGGGTTAGCGAAGAGATGTTAACTACATGGGCTAAGTACAGATTCACTTTAGGCTGTCTGTAGACCTCAGGGAATGAATATGTAACTTTTACCCTTATTTACCCAGATTTATGAGATTGCAGATTGGTTATACAACCAATGAATGCCGCTTAACCAGGTTGCTTGAGTGATTTATCAAAACCTTATCATGTGTCCAATATAGAATGCACAAGTATAGTCTTTATCCTCTGTATAGTAGAATGACTTGTCTGGGTTTTTTTTCTACATTGGTAGTACCAGGAAGGTGACACAAAGACATTTCTCCCAAGCCTACTAGGACAAGGGCTCTGCATAAGACAATATATATGAAGCCTGGAAAACATTGATTTCACAATCTGGCTTTTTGCAGACAGATTAGGCATTGATTTTATGTTTGTAAGATGCCCACCAACACTGCCAGCTAATGCTCATCAGAGAGGACAGTGCTTTGACATGTTGAAAAACCTTGTCTGATCACTATTGTTCCCTTTGGAAAAGCAAGCTCGCACCTGAGGAGTCTACAGCACACCTCTCCCATATTGCTTCATAGGTTTAAAGATGAACGGCTTCCCATTGTGATCGATCATATTTAGTGAAACAGTGGTTGCCAGAGATCCTGTGGGTGGTCAGCTCATGTCCACATACTTGACTGCCCTTTTATGTTTACAGCCAGCTTTAAAGTTGAGCATGTTCTTTGCCCATTCTGGTAAAAGTAGTAGATTCACTCTCTCCTGCCACCCCCTTCACCTGCTAGAGCCAAGCAACATACCTGGTATACATGGGTTTGGAGGAGCATGGGAATTTCCCACTACCTCATGTAATACAGTGCTAGGCAGAGTTAGCAGCAAACCACAAGACACCAGGAGGAGGTCCTTAGCTATGTGTAGGCACCTATGAGAACTACTGTGAGCTTATTTAGGGCTTATTTACTTGTCTCCAGTGGGCAAACAGAACAATGGGTTAGCGAAGAGATGTTAACTACATGGGCTAAGTACAGATTCACTTTAGGCTGTCTGTAGACCTCAGGGAATGAATATGTAACTTTTACCCTTATTTACCCAGATTTATGAGATTGCAGATTGGTTATACAACCAATGAATGCCGCTGCTTCTCATATTTCCAGTTCCTACAACATTTTGCAGGAGGCACAGGGGAATCAGTGGCACACAAGTAGCAGCAATGTTGCCAGCCTGCCATGTGCACTCCTTCAGTTCACCATCAGTAGTGATGAGCCGAACAACCCCATGTTTGGTTCGAATTCAAACTTTCGAGCTTGGGAAAAGTTTGAATTCGAACTCAAACTCAATCCAAGTCTATGGGGGTAGAACTTTGAAAATCAAATGCACCCATTTTGAAGCCTTAAATTTAATTTATTGCCCCTAAAAAGTGTATGGGGATCCGGGTACTGCCCTGGAGTCAATGGGAAAAAAAACTTTTAAAAAATACAATTTTTAAAGGAGCAGTAATTTTATCATCACTTAAAGGGTAACAATAAAAATTACAAATTCCTTTAAATATCGTGCTTGGGGGGTCCCCTTAACCTGCCTGTAAAGTGGCACATCTGTACGATGTATAGAACCTGCTGCAGAAAAATTGACATTTCCAAAGAAAAAAAAAAATGACTTTAATTTTTTTCTTAAAAGCGTGCAGTTCCCCCTCCCAAACAATACCAGACCCTTTAGGTCTAGTAGGAATGTTAAGAGGGACCAAATCGTTTAAAAAAAAAAAGCATGGGGTTCTCCTCAAAAGTCATACCAGACCCCTAAGGTCTGGTAGGAATTTTAAGGGGGAACCCCCCCCCCCCCACACGGGGGGGGGGGGAATGTTGCAGTCCCCCCTACCCTAAATTTCCATACCAGACCCTTGATCCGACCATAGGCCTGGCAAGGCCGGAAAGGGGGGAACGAGGGAGCGCTCCCCCCATACCAGGCCACATGCCCTCGGCACTGAGAGGGTGCTTTTCCAGGGTCGCGCCTGGGAAAGCACCTTGTCCCTGTGGCGTTGTGGACAAGAGCATCTTCCCCACAAGTCCTGGGACGTTGGTGGTGGGGGCACGGGCAGGGGGCTTATTCACATCAGGGTACCACTTTAATAAAGTCTCCAGACAATACACATACCACATCAGCACTAAGACAGTCAGTTCAGCTGCAGTCTCACCCCCCTCTTCTGCACTCTGCTGTCTGTATCTCTGTGGGGGAATTAAAAAAAACTGCAGGATGGATGTTCTAGTGTTCATAGACCTGTGACCTGACATGAATAAACTCTGATAGGATGTGCCCTGAGTTACTGCATCTGTACAGGTTCTCATTAACGCACAGCAGCCCCTACAAGCTGCTGCTCCTCAAATGGAGAGGAGGATCTCAACAATATTGTCGGAATTGCTTCTCAGCATAGAGCTTAGCCCTGCCCACAGTATATTACACTGAATTTTAAGCTTATGGTGCATTTTTGATTACAGGATTACATTGCAAAATGTATTCCTGTTTCATAGGAAAACTAAAAATGCAGAAAGAAGGTCTACCCCATAGTTCTACTTTAACCAGGTGAGTATAACCTAGACAGAAATGAGCAGTTAACCCTTGCAGTATGGGGGTAGCCCCACTGCAAGGGTTCTTATACAGTGACATGATATGATAAAAAAAGATTGGACTTGTATACATTGGATTGGTAGTCCCCATTCACACTTGCGATGCATTACATTAGGTAATGTGTTTCTGTACTTTTTTATGTGCATTTTTTGTGCGTCACGTGTAGGGCAGCCAATTAACTGCAATGCAAGCTTATGTACCTTTATTGTGCTTTATGCGGTTTTTTTTTTAAATTGCACTTTTTTGTGTGCGTTTGCTGGGTACCTTTGAGCACACATAAAACATGTCTTGCTTGACAAGTTTAGGGTGCCATTAACAATGAATTGCATCACAAATGAAATAACAGTATGGAAGGCTTATATGTTTATGGTCTATACTGGTGGATGTATTATCAGCAGTGAGAGAATTCTGCATTCCCAGTACAGACTTTGGGTTTTGGCCCCCTTCCTGCTGCCAGATTCTGCTTCCTTAATGGGGCATTGGAGAATTTTGGTATGAGACAGCCTAGTGGCTCTGAGAAAATGCTTCAGATCACACTGAATGATGATTCTAAATCTGTCATACAGCAGGTTTTATGGGAATAATATGCAATTCTGTATTCTCATGTTTGCTCATCCCTGAACAACACTGAAAATGTAGGATTCAGGAAGCCTAAAGGAAGAACTACAGTAATAATTATTTATAATGAGATTCACCATATAACCTAATTTCAGAGACAGTCTAACCCTTTTTGTGCAAAAATGTACTACTGCACCCATGCTTCCTCTGACTGCATAGCTGCCAAGTGTCCCAAATCCACAATTTTGGACACTGTCCTGCAGTGTCCATGTCCCAGGCTGTATCACAGAATCCAGGAGGCAGGAGTGGCAACAAGTGGCAGGAGGTGGAATTTAAATGGTATGTCAGTGAGAGGAAAAAATTACCCATATCAGTGTTTATTGGGAGGAAGACTGTCCCAACATCAGTGGTCAGTGGGAGAAAAAATGCTGCGGAATCACTAGTCAGTGGTAGGCCTCTCAAGACCAGTAACTACCATACAGCCATGCAAAATGTTTAGCTAAGGCCCTGCCAGTAGAGTAATCACTAGACAACTTGCTCCCCATGTGGACAGCTTAGCTTAACTGGTTAGTGTGTTAATAACCGGACAGTTTATCTTACATGCAGGCAACTTAGCGGGTAAACTACTGAATGGATGGCTTGCCCTGTGCAGGTCTTGCATCTATGTCCTATAGATGCAAGACCTGAGGATTCACTCTTAAAGCAATTCTAAACCCAAAAACAAAAATTTAATATTTGCTCTATTTTGGTCTCTTAAATATACCATTGAAAGCATTTTATTACATCTATTTGATAAGTTCAAAAAGATACCAGTTGATCCTCCTAGAAATGTTGTGAGCTGATAACCTCCTGTGGTCTCTGCCTGTGCTGACCCTTAACAATGACATTGTTCTCATTGTTCTTTGAGGAGTTGAGGACTATGTAACTACACCCCTCTAAGTCAGATTTATCAGGTGAAAGCAAAGGCAAACAACGTTTGAAAACAAATAATATAGGCACATCATCCAAACTTGTAAGCTGCAATATATAATAAATTTTTGTTGCCTCCTAGGGCAACCATGTTCCATTTATGCTTTTCTCTGCTTTTATGCTGGAGCCATGTTTAGTACAATAAACTGTTTTACGGAGTATAGGAAGCCTGCCCATGCTCAGTCTCCATGATGCCCTACATTTGTATGGGCATCATGGGGAAAAATGGGTGTAGACCTAGAAGGCGTCACATGAACATGAGCCCAGGAGCAGAATTCTCATGAAAATGCCAGTGAAGGGACAACATTAGCCTGAAACAATGAATTCCCTTTTCTGCATTGCTTATAGAGTTAGCACATGCACATTGGGCAGAGGGACAATAATGGGACAAGCTGCACTCTTCTTAAAAAAAAGTATTCTCTAAACTGTAAGTGTCTGAATTAAAGTGTAACTACACATTTATTAAGCATTAATGTAAGCTCTCAACTCTCCCCTTCAAGTTAAATGCTCACATGTCTCCAATCCAGAGTCTCTTCTGAAAATTAGTTGGCATATTACATTCTCTCCAATGAAGATCCCAGTGTGCATGGGCTGTAGAAAATGTTCAGGAGAGACAGTAAGTTTAAAGTTTTCCTTCTATGTGTATGTGATTTTAAAGTACAGCTCTACTTTAAGTCATGTTAAATAGTGCTTAAAGAGGAACTTTTACCCAACAAATTCATGTCTCCCAAAATAGTTACTTTTAAGGCATGCCAACTGTTAGGGCCGGCCTTAGGCCTTTAGGCGCCCTGTGCGAGAAAGCTTTACAGCGCCCCTCAGTGACCACACCCCTCCGTGGCCACACCCTTTAGCGGCCTCACCCCCAGTAACCACACCCATTTTCCCCACCGCACCATTTAAAGACTCCTATTTTGTTAAGCCGCAAAGAAACATTAATAAGTATGATAAAAATAAAACTTTGATTCAAAGTTATTAAACCTGTAGGCACAATAGAAGTATTCTTATCAAATAAAACAACAGAAGGCAAACAATAAATGTCAAAATACAATAGAGTCTATAAAAATAAAGTGTCAGTTTGTCATGCCGATCCTTTTTTCAAGTCAGTATATCTAGAAAAATAAAAATAGAAAACACAACACAGAACCCAGACTACTTGTAAATGAATGAATTACTATATGTCCGAAATATACGAGAAATGTATTCAGGCGCATAATAATAATCATTTGTTTGAGAATGTGGGGCGGCCGTGTTGGCCCCCGGCGTGTTTTGTGAATGTGTGCCACCATCATAGAGGCTGGGAGCATGACGTTACATGACGCCATGTGAAGTGGGGGGGCGGACGAGGGAGCGCTGTCATATCGGATGGCCAGCAGTGAGGGGGAGAGAAGCCGCCCACAGGACGAGCTGTGACGGCCGCACAGCGCCCTTGTTGCCATGGCGCCCTGTGCGGCCGCACGGCTCGCACACCCCTAAGGCTGGCCCTGCCAACTGTCAAGCTTGCCTTTGTGCTTATTTTAGCTCTCAACCAAACTTTAAAGCCCTCAAATGGCTGGTGTCATAGCTGATTACATGTGCAGCACCATAGCAACTCCCAACCAAATAGAGGCCAGGATGGCACCTTCCTTGGCTGTAAGGGATAGATAGTTGTAGTTCCGCTTTAAGGAATATTATTGTGGCATGGGAAAACAATTGAGAAACTACTTCAGCATGTTGCCGCCCGTCGGCACTCTGCCGCCCCGAGGCCGGGCCTCGGTGGCCTTGTGGGAAATCCGGGCCTGCCTATACCAGTGGTCCCAAAACTGTGGCATACAGGCCAGAAATGACCCGTTGCTTGTCTTTAACTGGTGTTTGGGGCACAAATACTCCCACTGAATCCAACAATTCGACATTATTCCTATGCCAACTGACTGGCATTTTTTTATTCCCACTGACCAACAAGACAAGGGGGATTATTTACTCCCACTGGTGATTTCAGTTCCAGCTGTAATAGAGCTGCAAGGGAGCGCAGGCAAGGGGTTCCCCTGCATGGACACTTTCACTTTTTAATTTGTTGGGAAGAGCCACTCTTCACTAAAACAACTAACAACCATTGTAGTGGTTGAGTAAAGTAAGGGCTCAGTCACACTAGATGCAGTGCGTTCCGGCCCAATTTTGGCCATTTTCTGGCCCCTCCATGAAGGACAGTGACCTGGCCCTAGGGTTTAGAAAGTTCGAGTACCACTGCCTTATACTATGTTTAACTTTATGGTGGTCCTTTATGAATGTAATCACTTCTACATTACACAGTCCAGTGCTAAACTAAGAAAAGGGGAATTGATAGGTTGCTAATCGGTTACTGCACTCCACTGCCTTTTGAAATGCCTGCCATAAGCCGGAGCAGTCGGCTTTTTAAAATTTAAATGGATCTCTTCTTTTACCGCAAAAACACAAGAGGCAGGAAAATGTCAGTATAGCCACTTCATAGTGAAACGAGATGTAAGCTGCACATTGCACATAGGAAAGTCTACTGTGTCCCCAGCAGCTGTTTTGCTGTATGTACTTCAGTCAATATGACCCAAACATGACCAGTAATAAGGAATAAGGCGTTTTTTCCCCCCTAAGCCAGCTATGAATGCAGCCATTGTGCACGGCTGGGGTTCCCAGAGGAGACAGACTATAGCTCTGGATGTTAACCCATATACTGCCAGGTGGGACTAGGAGAACATTCAACTTAATGAACTGCAGGCCTCTTCTCAGCAGGAACAACATGCAGGTTGCAGAACACTCAATATTACTTGTTAGGACATGGCATCAGCCGGCTGTGGTGGGTTCACAAAAGAAAATGGATATTGATTTATTTTTAATGACTTTTGACCTTAAAATAAAGCCAGCTGTGAAAGGAGGACTGTCTCCTGGCATTAGTCCTGGCTGACTGACATCAGGGCTCAAGAATGTCATGATAAGAAACATAAAGAAAGGATATGCAGAGCTGCCAACACTTCATAACAGAGCAAGCCTTCAGCAGTGTTCATCTTAAAGAAAGAATCTCTTCTGCATGTCAGAAATTAGAACAGAAATAAGAAAAATCAATAAAACTGAAACGCTGGTACTGGAGATGAGGCCATTAGCCTAATGCAGCGGTAGGAAACCTTGGCACTCCAGCTGTTCTGAAACTGCAAGTCCCATCATGCCTCTGCCCCTGGGAGTCATGCCTGTGACTCAATGTCTCATGGAACTTGTAGTTCC